CATTGCAGGTGGCATTGCTTCGAGCTCATGCAGGAGAACATCTCCTTCTCGGTGCTGCAAAGAGGTCCATGCTTTACAAAGACATCCTCTTATTAGGTAAAACTGACACACAAGGCAGTGTGATACTGCACTCATATTGCATATAATCATGCTCTTTCCCTATTCCAATGGTGCGTTTTCAATGTGTTTCTCCTGCAGGAAATGACCACATCATTCCCAGAAACTGCCCAGAGTTGGAGGTGGGCAGAGTAGCAGTGAGAATCCTGGATGAGCTGGTGCTTCCTTTCCAAGAGCTTCAGATAGATGACAATGAATATGCCTGCTTAAAAGCCATAGTTTTCTTTGACCCAGGTATTAGTGCTGACAAACATTTCAGATTCTTGAGCTTCTTTCCAAGCCATTAACTTGAGTGAAAACTTGAAAAACTCAGCTAGACCACATTATATACAGATGTTGGTCATCAAAACATTTCTCTTTGCTAACATTTGCCCATAGATGCTAAAGGTCTGAGTGACCCTGGAAAGATCAAGCGGATGCGATACCAGGTCCAGGTGAGCCTGGAGGACTACATCAACGACAGGCAATATGACTCTCGAGGCCGTTTTGGAGAGCTTCTCCTGCTCCTGCCGACACTACAGAGCATCACTTGGCAAATGATTGAACAGATCCAGTTTGTGAAACTCTTCGGCATGGCCAAGATTGACAATCTGCTTCAAGAAATGCTTCTTGGAGGTGAGAAATGGTTGTCAGTACAGATAGGTTTAGCAAAATTTACTATAGCATGAATTCTGAAACAGTAGGCATTGCATTAAGTGGACAGAACTGCATCAAACCACTATTCAGTAATAAATTATGATTAACTGACAATTGTTGGGGTTTTTCTTCCAGGTTCTGCTAATGAAGCACCACATGCACCTCACTCTCTGCATCCTCACCTGGTTCAGGAGCACCTCAGCACCAATGTTATAGTGACCAGCAATATGCCAACGCCAATCCATAATGGTCAAATCTGTAAGCACAAAATACATTAATGCATTGCTACATTTAAGATTTGGTGTCTGTAATTAGCTTAAAACTGTCAGGTTTTTTTATTGCTACATATGGTAAAAACTTCAAGTCTAATGAAGGTGATCACAATCATTAATCAGTTGTATTTTAATGAAGAGAGCCCATCAAATTTTCCTCACGCAGCTCCATGTGCAGCCAAGTCAGGTAGCTGGAAGACCAAATAAGCTTGGTAAAATAATCCCCTAAGTTGTTCACAGAAACTAATCTGGCTTATTTTGTAAAAGAAAACTTCTGTTATTCTTTCTGAGCATATTTAATGCTCTGACAAATTTCACAAAAGTGCTTATTCCTTATTGGAATCTTGTGTTACCCCCGCGTCACACTGTAAGATAATAAATATTCACCTGCTTGTGCTGTAGTTTCTCCACATTAGTAACTGCTCTCTCTGTTCTACTTTTCAGCCACTCCTGAAACCCCAATTCCATCTCCACCCGCTGCCTCCAGCTCAGAACATTATAAAATGGTTCAGGGGGTCATAGCCACTGTTCCCAAGCAGCCAACCTCCATCCCTCAACCAACTATTACAAAACAGGAGGCCATTTAACAACCCCTTAAATCTTTATTCCTTCAGTTTTTTTTTCTAATTAAACCAGGGTCTTTACATGTATGTTTATACACAATCAGCATTGAAGCTGTTAACTTGACTGGAACCCTAAAGTAGCTGAATACTGTGTGTATATATATATCTATAATAAAAATCTGCAGGTGTGGTCTTTACAGATTGATAGCCTGAGTTTTCAGGCATCACTTTGTACATGTATGCAGCTGCAGCTGAGCTTCATGGTTCAGTGAAGGCCAGATAAAACCATAAGCATTGTGATCTTCTAGGCTTACTGCCTTTCTGTAAGACTGACACTTAGAAGTACACTGCTGTATATATTATAGCTCATTATTGGGTAACTTCAATTCCATTGTGTCCTATGCATGTCCTCAGTGTGTGCAGTAAGGCTTATGTTAGAAATGGCAAAGTAATCATGTCAGTATTTCATGAATGTTACAACAGGCCTTACACTGTCATATATTTAGTGTTTAACTTTTTATTTTTTTATTTTATGTTTCTTAACAATAAAATGAACTCAGAAAAAAAGCTAAATATAATTCCTCTAAAGAGTTCAGCTTTTCCTTCGAGTTGCTCTCAAATATTTTGTGGCAAAACTAAAATATATGGGGTTTGTTTTATACACTGGGATATGCATATTTACAGGAGTGAAATTTCAAGTTTTAAAATTTACTCCAGTATAACCAAGTTTGGCAGGCTGTATACACAGAGACTTTTAAAAAGTCACAGGCAGACATGCTAAAGAAGTTTCCCAATAATATGTTGTGCTCGGTTTTAAAAGTATATTGTATGTTGTTTGTTTTTTTGTTTGTTTTGTTTAGTTTAGTTTAGTACTTTGTCATGGTTTAACTGATGGAATAAATTGTGCCTTTTAACCTGTACTGCCTTACAAAACCAGGTAATGTTTTGCCTTACAATGTGAAGTTGAGTTAATAAATCTTACGGTTTATTTTTACATTGCTTTTTCTGCTACGTATTTATACTACGGTCACAAGAGAAGTGGCCACCAATGAATTCACTGCATTTGCATTACACATTCTTTCAAAGGTAAATGGTGGAAAAAAAAAATTAGGTCCAACGTGGCAGTGCTTTTTGGTCCCTGATAGACTACTGCAACTTCAGGCTGATAAGCTGCCATAAAATCATTACAGATAGCGCTGACTCCAGATAGAGAGATGCAGATATATTTGTGCACTGCATCTAGAAAACAATGAATGCTGTGTGTGCTATTGTTAAGCTCATTTTACTTTCTGCAATGGAAACAAAGCATTACATTCAAAACAAGTACAAAAATAGAAGTATCTAGAGGAGGATTACTTTTAATATTACTGCCCATAATGAGAGCATCAACAGGACCATTGGTGAGACATAACTATTGAGATTTCTAGGAAACAAAATTGTACTTTCTGGAGATTGTTGGCTCTTGCTGGGTGAAATCTGTTGCAAACAAGATCCTGCAACAAAAACATATTGATTGCTTTGGTTGCAAGCAGATTCCCACAATTTTTGCTAACTATGCAAAAAATTGTAGTACAACTTGTGAAAAGGGTGTGATGCAAACTAGAAATTGAGACTTTTGCCTTCCAATTAAAAGTTGTTCATCAGCGATGTAGTCAACATGTTTTAAAAGGTGCAGCTTTTAACTCTGAAGGTGAATGGTCCTGGTTTCCAGTTTATACTGCACTTGCCACAGTTTCACCACAGCTCTAAGAGCAACTGGGCAATATTTGTAGACAACTCTGTCACTCCCATGAAAACTATGGGGGACCACAGCAATATGCTAGCAAGCAAAGCAATCAGAAAGAGGTTTTTCCAACCAGCTAGGGAATACACATTTTTCCCTAGCAACAGGTGTGATGCTGGGGAAATATGAGAGTCACTGATTGGTCTCTAGGCCTTTAGGGGCTTTAGCAAATATTTTCCCAGCAACTGCTGGTGACCTCTTGCAACTGGTTGGGGAACACTGATTTTCCTCTCATGAACAGTGATTGCCAGATGGTCACCGGCTGGTCTCTAAGCTTGTCTGACTGGGGTATCATTCAATTGACTGTACACTGTCACCATTCCAAAGTGTCCAAAATAAAAGAAAAGCTAATGTCACATAGTTAGCAGTCACATATCTGCAACATCTTAAGTGCAGCTTTAAGGTGCTTGCGCTTTACTGAAGTCTAATGTTTGCTGTTTTATGTTTAATGTTTTGATGCTTTCCACATCCACTCTATCACAATGCATATATTGTACTTTGTTCTCAAAACCCTTTAATTTTAAGTTTTAGTTACACTTAAACTGCAGGCGTTTGTCTGGTTAGGAAGGCTGAACTGTTGTTAACTGTTGCCTAACTATTGTGTAAACTATTTTACTTGGATTTGTGCAAATGAAAGTGATGACAAGTGCACTGGACAGGCAACAAAAAGCCAACATTCACAAATGAAATGGTTTTACATGTGGTGTCCACAAACCATTTCTCTTGCCTTGTCACCATGAAAATCATCTTTTATACACCACTTTCCTACAACATATTTATTTTTAATCAGTTATTCTCGGCCTACATGGACCCCCCCGTCTTGTTCTTGGTTCTCTCTTTAGCACAATACCTAACATATCCTGGATGTACATCACAATACATCATCGTTAAATTGGTTTGACACAAGTACAGGACATTAGCCTAAAGCTCATATCCATATTTTCTTTCTTTTTCGTCCCCTTTAATTAGACATTTAGTCAATTGCTTGCATTTTTTAAAGAACAAAACACCAACCCCTTGTTGTACGACCAATCCTGTAGTGAAACGAATCCCAAATATAAAATTTGTATTAAAAAAAATTGTCTACCTACATAGCCTCCGAGACGACATGAAGCCTACAGTGCCAAGGAAGCAGCCGCGGAAACATGAAGGTAAATTCTGCCATCTACTGCTTTGAAATGCAATACAAGGATGGTATAACCTGCGTACAAGTATGAGATCATTACGTTAGCCTACAGCTATAAAACCCCAGAGCTATAAAATTACCTGCCTGGTGCTTGAATCAAACAACAGTGTTTGAAAAGTGTGCGTTTCTGTTACTGTTGGATTTAGAGATGTGAGGTTCAGGTACCCAGGTGCGTGTTTATGTTAGTAAATCTTGAAACGGATTAGTTTGTAATTTGTTAAAAGAAAAAGAGCTGGATATTTCAAGATCGCATTTGAATTTGAAACACAACAGGCTCACATAACAGTCACGCTATTAATTTTTTGACATATAGGTTTGCCTAATTTTCGATTAAACTTGAACGCAGCATCGGCATCAAAACAAAAGACGCACGATTCATCGGCGCAGTGCATCACGTGTTACAAAAGCACCAATGAGCTAACGCCGGCTCTGTACCCGGAAGAGGGATTTTCCTGACAGGTCCGTTGTGATTTTTTTGACAGTGGTTTTTGTAGCTTTGATCTTTGCGGATGTTTTCTGAATTTATATATCACTTACCAGCAGCCTTTTAGCACTCTATGTCTGCCATTGAAGGCTACCGTTAGACCCATTTTCTGGTCAGTATTCAGTCATTATCCGGACATATGCTCTGTTTAGGCTCAGGCTGTATTAGCTGAGAATCTCTGGCGCTGTGACTCATTACTGAGTGAATGCATGCAGTGTTTGCAGTCTTGGGTAGTTACTGGAGAGCATCCCGCTCTTGTGTATCTGGGAACATCGTGTTCCCACATCTATTGCTAAACTTAGCTGAAATTGAGCTACTTACTAAAACTGCGCAGTTTGTGAGTGTACCTGACACTTACTGTAATGTTCAGGCACTTAACAGTTTTTATTTTGTGCTGCTGTACATTTACTGTGCAGAGGCAGCTTACTGGTACAAAATATGATAATGACTTTTAATTATTGATAATGAAGGTGTCAGGCCGTGGGGTATCGCTGTTCTTATTTGAATTAAAGCTATGGTATTTAAAAGTTAATTCTCCTCACCCGTGCTTATTTCCCAACAGCTTCACCCAGTCATTCCATGGCCGATCAGCATGAGTCCATCGATCTCGGTGGTCCTACAGTGGACTCGTCAGCAGCTGCAGTGCACAGCTGGTTCCCCAGTCCTCCACCACCCATCTATTCCTGTACCCTGACCCCTGAACTGGTGGCCAAGGCACGTGAGGAGCTCCAAGAGAAGCCAGAATGGCGTCTACGGGATGTCCAAGCACTGAGGGACATGATACTTAAGGTAGGGCAGAACAATGATGCCTTACCAAGCGGCAAAAAAAGAGGGAAAAAATTGGAAAGCTTTTGAGTAACATTCAACTGGACCTTTGGGAAGAATTTGAGAAGTGTGAGTAAGGAAATACAGGAAGGAATTTTCAGTATGAAATGTAAGTGTATTCATATATGCCAAAAATAGCCTACATGCGATCGGAAAAATAATCAGTTCTTTTATTAGGCACTTTTCAGGGCATGTTTGCAGCACTGGGGCCTAAATTTCACCTACAATCTATAGGTGTTAAATATGTAGGTGTGTAGGTGTGTAGGTGTTAAATATTCCAATGACACTATGACCTGTGACAAATGAGTATGGATTTTAACTGCACAGGTCCTGTGTTTTTCTGCTGTAGTGTTTTGATAGCATTAAAAAGCAGTGAATAAAGGTATTATTGAACAAGGCCAAATTTCAATTGTTTGTCAATTAAAATATTTTTTCTTATTTGTTGCATTTCAGCAGCACTGAATTCCATGTGAATTATCTTTGTTTGTCTTGCAGACATTTTTTGACAGTGGTTGGAGTCTCATAGAAATAGAGTCTCATAGAAATATGATCTGTAGTTTTGTTATTTCCAGCAATGAGGTGGTCCACCTCTGAATTCTTTCTTTCCTCTTCAGCCTATAGCACTGAAGGCTCAAAGTAAATTTATTATAAAATGTGTGATGGACGTAAATCATTTTAAAAATAAGGTTTTGTTTTTTTCCCCTAAAACGGTGGTACATGTTCTTTATTAGTGAAGGAAAAGTCTCAAAGGTTTGGTCCTTTGAACAAAGAAGGTTCACTAAAAATAAACTGAAGTGCCCATGTTATCAGAATAAAGGATCCTTTTACTGGTGGCTAAATGGTGAATTTCTAATAGTTTAGAGTTTAGTAATAGCATTGACACCTCGCAATAGAACAGATTTGTTTTGGGGTTTTTTAAGGTGTTATTTTCAAGCAGTTACATTGATACAATTATTCTGAAAACTTTTTAAAAGATTATTTTAACCAGATTCTTTTGTAATGATTTATTAGTTCCACTTATGCCAGCTGGGGATTGGTCCGATAGGTACAGTATGGGGTGAGCCCTCCCTTAGAGACAGGCTGAAAAGGAGCTAGTTGAGGTGGTTTGGACATCTGACCAGGCTGCCTCCCAGGTGCCTCTAAGTGGGGTTTTCCAGTCATATCCTTCTGGGAGAACACCCCAGGGTAGACCCAGGAGATGCTGGATTATCTCTCGGCTGGCTTTGGAAACACCTCAGTGCTCCCCTTGAAAAGTTAGAGGAAGTGGACAGGGAGGAGTAGTACTGGGCATCTCTGCTTAGACTGCTGCCAGTGAAACCCAGGCCTGGAGAAGTAGTAAAGAATGGACAGATGGATGCTAACCAAGCTTAATTTAGCCATTTTTCTCAGTGTTTTATTTTGTTTAGTCAGAAGCCGTATTTTGTTTATTCTAGTTGTTGCCATTCATGACCTTCCCTCTTTTCTTTTTTTTTCAGTTAACTTTTTTTCCCCTCTTGGCTCTGCAGGAACAGCCCAATCTCAGGACACGACTTGATGATGCCTTCCTGCTGCGCTTCCTGCGGGCTAGGAAGTTCGACTATGACCGTGCCCTGCAGCTGCTCCTCAATTACCATGCAGGACGTAAGGCTTGGCCAGAGGTGTTCCAGGACCTGAAGCCATCCACAGTGAAACACGTCCTCGACCTGGGCTTTCTCACAGTGCTGCCACGGCCGGACCCCAATGGAAGATACATCCTCTGTCTGCGCCCAGGTTGGTGTCGGCTTCATCGTCACTGGAAAATTCACGCAATACTCGATTTATCTGATGCATTATTCGTTCGCTCACGATGCACGATTACTCACTTCTAACTGTTTTACAGGAAAATGGAAACCAAATGATTACCCATTTGTTGACAATGTTAGAGCGATTTATTTGACTCTGGAGAAGCTGATTCAGCCGGAGGAAACGCAGGTGAACGGCATTGTTATTTTAGCAGACTACACCGGAGTGGGCATGTCACAAGCATCCAATCCAGGCCCGTTCCTCGCCAAAAAAGTTGTGAGCATCCTCCAGGTATGACATCAAAAATCGAATGTTAGCAATAATGAGTATTATTTGATAAAGCCACTATCTGATGATGATATTCTTATGTCAGAGGGGATTAACTCTGCTAGTTTCACCCTGAGATGGTTACTTAATGAATCACTACCTCAAAATGATTCTTATTTTTGATGATATAGCAGTAAAAAATGGAATTAGTGCAACACTTGAGAAAAAAACCTTGTCAGTCACAGCAGCTCCTGAACGCTGCCTGTGGTGTTTTGTCGTGACTGCAGAGTGTCTGATATTTACATAAGTACACAAAGCATGTGTGAATCATTTGACAAGGCCCAGCTGTGACTGTTTTCTCTTCTAATTCACAGGATGGGTTTCCGATCAGAATCAAGGCCGTTAACATAATTAATGAGCCGCGGATTTTCAAAGGGATCTTTGCTATAATTAAGCCGTTTCTCAAGGAGAAGATGGCAGAGAGGGTAACTATTCTTGTACTGTCTCTGACTCTTTTGTTTGGAACAAAGGCCCGCTTTGAATCGTGCCCCTCATTTTATTCTGTAGCCTGTGTTTCAAACCGATAGTCTTTTTCATCTGTGAAACTGAAAAGCTAAGCATGTTTCCTTTTCAGAGAAATAAACCAAAATGGTCAAACAGAACAACAATTTTTCAAAATGGTATGGTAAGCCTTGTGTTGTGTTCATTAAAACGCATAGTAACACATCTGTAATTAACACTGGGGTCAACAAAAACAAGCTGTAAATGCAACAGTGGCATATTATCTGTTTTTATGTTAATATATAAGCAAAAACAACAAAAAATCAGCAGGTACAGTCAAAATAAATAGATACTAGTTTGGATATAGTAAATGCACCTCTGTGTTCAAATTTGATTCTGTGCATGGCATTTAGTGGTCAGATTATTTCATTTTTCACATTTTTGCTCACAAGAGTGGCTTCTTGGCATACAAAGGGTGGTCAGCAACACTTATCACATTTACACATGGCCAGCCCCCATTCCAAGTCTTCTTCTTGGGCATGTGCAGGCAGCTTGCAGTGTGAGTGCCATTTTTAGTTTGCTCAGTGGATGCCCTTTTTTGACCACTTTCACTGTCACTGGTGAGTCTGAAAGTCTCCTTCTAGGACCATGCTGTTCTCAGACAAAATATCCTCAGTTTCTAAGCTCAAAAGCAGAATGTCAAGTGAGAAATGAGACCTGGAGCGTTCTCGTGATTTTTATTTCAACAGTGACTGGGTTGTGTGATGTCCTGAGGCGTGTGAGGGCGAACATCCAATAGAATCGACCTATACTGTTGTGCGTGCCAGCACGTTATCCGGTGCCAACATAGAGCACATTAAAAACACAGGAGTTATTTTGGCCTGAACCAACACAATCTTTTCTCACCACCTGTCCTGCTTGCCAGATTTGGCTCACTGAAGCTTCATACACTTCCATAAAATCAGAGTCAAGTTAACACTGCAGGAGGCTCAGCGTGCATTGCAGATGCAGAAGTACAAAGGGACAGAAGTAGACTTCCTCTGAGGGATGTAAAAAAAAATAAAAAAGCTGGGCTGAAAACAAACGAACAGAGGTGCACGAGAAGGTGTTCTTGAATGTGAGGTTGATTTTAATTCCTGAACCTTTTTCATAAAACATCTCAAGTATGAAAATGGCAAAGGTGAAGCTTTGTAGGAAGGTGAAAGTTGAAGGCAGTTACCTGATAAATCTAAAATTACATTCATCACATTAAATATTAAAGCTGCAGGTCGCTGACAAGTCTTTGTCGTCTTCTTACACAGTACATCCTCCACGGTTCAGACCTGCGCTCCCTGCACCGGAACATCCCACGATCGGTCCTGCCAGAGGAATACGGCGGCACCGCGGGCCAGCTGGACATGAGTGCGTGGTCAAGACTGCTGCTGGACTGCGAGGAGGAATTTGTAGTGGAGTTCTGCCAGCCGGATCCACTAGAGGGCGTGGTGCTTCCAGAGTCCATGCTCTTTGAAGGAGAGCAGGCCAGCGGGCATGATGACGACACCTTCAGGGGGCTGCGCTCTCAGCTTTACTACTGTTACTGATGTTCGCTGTAGTCGCAGAGCTCCCATCACTGAGAGGACATTTTCTGTTTCATTTAAGAAACACGTGTGTAGACTTTTACAGGGCAAGTTGCCAATATTATACATGATTTATTTTACTAAGTAAGCAGCACTTAGGTGGTATAGTCTACTGTTGTTCACATGTGGCCCAGCATTCAATCATTCATCTAAGGCAGCTCCAGGTACTGGTTAAGATGCTTTTTTTTTTCATACATTGATGCATGTTCAGCCAATATTGATGACCTCTAAGAACTGATTATCGGTGGGGTTTATAATATTGGTTCACAACAGATTTTTCTTGCCATCCATCCATCTTTTTCTGCTTATCCGGGGCCGGGTCGCGGGGGCAGCAGCTTAAGCAGAGAAGCCCAGACCTTCCTCTCCCCATCCACCTCCTCCAGCTTGTCCATGGGAACACCAAGGCATTTCCAGGCCAGCCAAGAGATATCTCTCCAGCGTGTCCTGGGTCTGCCCCGGGGCCTCCTCCCAGTAGGACATGCCCAGAACACCTCACCCAGGAGGCATCCTTGTCAGATGCCCGAACCACCTCAACTGTCTCCTTTCGATGTGGAGGAGCAGCGGCTCTACTCTGAGCCCCTCCCGGATGGCTGAACTTCTCACCCTATCTCTAAGGGAGACGCCAGCCACCCTTCGGAGGAAGCTCATTTCTGCCACTTGTATCTGCGATCTTGTTCTTTCGGTCACTACCCACAGCTCGTGACCATATGTGAGGGTAGGGACGTAGATCAACCGGTAAATTGGGAGCTTTGCTTTTACACTCAGCTCTCTCTTCAGCACAACAGACCGGTACAGCATCTGCATCACTGCAGCCGCAGCACCAATCCGTCTGTCGATCTCTCGCTCCCTTCTCCCATCACTTGTGAACAAACCCCCAAGACACATAATCTCCTCCACTTGGGGTACGAACTCGTCCCTGACCTGGAGTTCGGCACTCCATTCTTTTCTGGCTGAGGACCATTGCCTCAGATTTGGAGCTGCTGATTCTCATTCCCGCCGCTTCACACTCGGCTGCGAATCGTTCCAGTGCAAGCTGGAGGCCATCACCCGATGAAGCCAACAGAACTGCATCATCTGCAAAAAGCAGAGATGATGATACCACCCAGGTGAAAACCCTCCGCCACTTGGCTATGCCTAGAAATTCTGTCCATAAAAATTATGAATAGAATCGGTGACAAAGGGCAGCCCTGGCGAAGCCCATCACCCACTGGGAATGACTTATTGCCGGCTAGGCGAACCAAGCTCTTGCAACGGTTGTATAAGGATCAGTGTTGCTTGCCATTTCTCTAAAATCCTATTTTAAGATCGGGGACCAAATCCACAGTCCTCCTTTTGTGTTTAGCTAGGGTGGTGCAGTGGTCAGCACTGTTTCACATTGGCAAAAGACTCTCCAGGTTCAAACCTTGTTTAATATTAAGGGGTTTAATATTCTCCCTGTGCATGTATTGCCAAAGTCAGTTGGAGCAATCTCCAACCCTCTCTGCAACCCTGCAACTCCTGTGAATTTGAAATGCAGTAAAGAAAGTGGTTGGATTGATACATTTAGTTGACAATTATAGGTTGTCTTCCAATGTTCCTCTCTTTAATTCACATTCCACATGGAGATATCCTCACATATGAACTTAAAAGCTTCAGGAGTCTTAGGCTGGGATGCTTTCTACAGTATTGAAATGGTCTGCTTCAGGTTTGTTCGCAGTACTAGAAATACTATTTGATTTCAGCGAGCGTGCTGCCAGGTTAGAGCGTGCAGGCGGCAGCACACATGATGCCCACTCACAATTTTATCTGCATTATTCACACATTGCTGCAATCTGACATCACTTTTTGTACCAGGGAACTGGCAGTTTAAAGACCAGCCAGTTTGCTATTAGCGTGCATCACACACAGTCTTAAGTCCCAGAAAAGCCCCACGCTGCAATGCATGTTTGAAAATGGCTTTTTTGATATTGGACCTTCACTGTTGAGTAGCACAGAAACGCTGCCTGGGGAGAAAAACGCTGTAACTCTTGAAGTCATCCTCTTATTTGGATGATTGAGCAATGAAGGCTCGTAGCCTTTCTGCATCATATGAACACTGTGGATTTTGTCCTCAATCTTTGATAGCAGGCTCCCTACAGCATGGGAAAAACTGCTTTCAGTGTACACGTTTTTACCAGTTTAACAGCATTTAGGTTTCTGCGTGCGCTACCATCTAGTACATTGCCTTAAATGATGTTGGATTTGGTTGACAATTTTGTGTGCACCAAAACTCATATTTGTTCTCATCAGGACTCGTCTTACATAAGAGTGGCTATACTTCATCGCTATAAAGGACAAGAGAAAGGACAATGTCATAGATTTACCTAAAAAAGATTTAGCCAAATATGTAACTCAGAGTATTTCAGAGCCTTTGTTTAGCTGATGGTTACGTTTCCTGGCTTGACTCTTCTAAGAGGATTATCTTTTAAGTTCAGATAATCTGCCTTATGTTTTATTTTTTTGAAACCCGTTTGCCTGTGTTTCATCACACAGTCTTAACACAGGGCCGTTCCCGATCGCAGGGGTCACACGGGGAAATATAGAACATTGAGGCCTGACTTTACAGACCTCCAGTTTGCCAAATTGTACACCAGGCCATGTACAGAAATGTGCAATAATGTTGCATCTGTTTTCTTGCGGTAAAGCTAATTTGCTTTTGTTCAGTCTTTTGTATTTTTATTTTAAGCATGTCTGACTATAAGCTGTGTTGTGTTGCAGGATATTTGTTGTTGTGAAGACAGTAAAGGAAAAGCCAAACAGAGAACATGCTATTTGTGTCTTGTTTGTTATGTGGATGCTGTTGTTGGCATGCTGCAGGCTCTAGGGAAGTTGCGGGTATTTTCACAACATAATTGCATCTGTCTTGAGCTGAGTTTCCCATATTGGATTCATGGGTCTCCAAAGACGCCACAAAAGCAGCGCTGGGAGAAGCATTCTGAACTTTAGGACAGTGAAGTACTCCATTGCTTGTAATCAGAAAAGAACAAAGTACTCATTTTTCTTCTCAGATTGCCATTACATTTATATTTTTGGAAAACTCTTAACATTTGAGAAGCATTTTGAAGTTTCCATTCGTCTAAGTACATTTTTATCAAGTTGTCACATGATTTGTGCCAGACTGCTGGTCTTTCAGTCTAATCTGTCATTCAGGTGAGTGCTAGAGTACCTGTATCTGTCCAGTGTTTCGACCTCCACGACCATGATGTTGATGGGCATAGTCCCAGTTTTTTTCCTTCGGAAGTCAGCCAACATCTCTGACATTCAGATGGAGGAGGTGATTTCATCCGGACCATTCAACAAAGTTCCTTACCAGATTCCTGTGCTCTGATTTCCGCCCACCCTCAATACACCCAACCAATGCAGTGTTGTCAGAGTTATCTACCTGTTTCAGCATGCTGCACTTCCACAAGGCTGGTAAGCAAACTGAAGAGGATCGACGCTGCATTGGCTCAGCTCAAAGTTGAAAATATTCAAATTTGGGTAAAGTTTACTATTAATTTTCTCTGAAACCTTACAGTTCATTGGGCTGTGAGCTGGAGGGGAAAGAGTGAGGGTAACCCAGAGTAAGAATCCAGTGAAATATTTGCGTCACCTCTTAAAGTTTGTTATAACATTAATAATACAGACAATATCAAAAATAGTAGTCAGAAAATATATTTTTTAAGTTATTATTATATACTTAAGTGTCGTGTAAGAACATCAATTCATTCATATATATATTTCTAATATTTCAAAATTCGAAGTGGATTGATTAGTAAAATAGTGACAAATGCCAGGATACAGAAGACTCTCGTGTTTCTAAGCCAGTCGGCACCCGTACCGTAATATGCGTAAGAACGGTGCAACAACATTGTAGGTGCGGCTGGGGGTGTGGCTAGCTTGACTATGACTTCGCATGTGAGGGCTCACTGAATTACTGCGAGAGATAGCTGAAGGATATTGACGACAGGCGGAGCAAAATGTTGTAGTCCAGCAGGGTTTATGTACACAGCACTGTTGCAAGAGTAACACTTCTAGAAACATACCACATCAATGAGTGGAAACTTGCATCAAAGCACACTTGCACATTGTTTTTCAAACCAAAAAGGTTGAGATGTCAACCATATCGGCAGCAGCTGGGTCTAGATGGTCAGCAGTGAGTGAACTTTCAAAATAAAATACATATTACACATTTAAAATGGTACCTCAGAAGTAAACGCTACTTGTTCCTTACAGCAGCAAATGTAGTGCTATGAGTACATTTTTTGGACATCCTGTTTAGCGACAGTAGAGCAACACTGAGGATGAAGATGGCATTTAAATATGCTACTGTACCATAACTGGTTCTTAATTTTTTATTAGGTTAGTCTGGGATTTATAGATTTAGTTTATAGAATATATATGTATTTTAGACAATAATGAAGTATATCTTTCAGTAAAAAATCAAAATAACTTGTGGCTTGTGAGCCTGCTCGTTTGCTGCTGTACCTCTGCCATCTGGAACGAGAACACAGAACTCATTAATTTCTTTTCTCTTCTCTCTTTCATAATTTTATCATTTTTTTCATCATTTTAACTTTATTTTAACTCTGCACAACCCACACTGTTATTGTTGCTCTGCTGTTTCCATGACGCTGGTTAACTGAGTGAGACAGTTAAAGGGGCACTGCACTGATTTTGCATATCATGCTCAGTTTAGTCGTTGAGAGATGTGAAAGCAGTCGGAGCTTTCAAAGGTTACAAAAAATATTTGAAGGTATTGTTTTTTATTGATTGTTGCGGATGGAGCTTGAGTCACTTTCTGTTTTTAGGTTATTAAACTGCAGAGAAGTGTTGACTAAAAACAAAACTGAGAATCTGGCAATAGTTTGACAACACTTTAGTGCTGAAGATATATCCACACCCCACTGGTTAGAAAAAATATTTTAGTTTTGCACACCTTAAATTTATTTTTAGTTCATTCTAAAAGCTAAAATACTATTTTCTATAGCTTATCACTTGTGCTTTTATTTAATCCATTACACCGGACCCATGACTAGGTTGTAATGCACCATAGTAATATATTTTTCTGTTATAGTTTTGCATTAAAATAAGTATACTTAAACAATGTCATACATTATTTCTGACTACCTGGACAGGACAACAAGCAATACTTGAGAAATGAGTGGAGATTCAGTTTTGATGGCCGAGCAAGAGCTATTTTTAAATATCCAAATGATTAGGAGCGACTGTAAGAATACTAATTTTTCTTAAATGCCATTTTAGGTTATTAATTTTAAACAAATGATAAAGAATTAATGAGGAAATTGCACAAATTTTGCTCAGTTGGTCGAAAAACCAAAAAGAGTAGTAAGGGCTGG